ATCGTAAACACTGTAAAAGCTGTACATGTTGTGGATCTACTGTGCTACTCGAAAATGATCAAAATAAACTTAATAAAAGTGACAAAACAACAGAAACAGACCTATCCGATGACTTAATAACAGTTGTAGCCAGTCGAATATTTAACAGAAGTGGGAAAACACAGGTTGTGAAGAAAATAACTATAAAAACTATACTTGATGAAGTATTTGACTATGTTGATCCTGTACCATATACTAGTATTGATAAGCTCAAAGAAAAAAAGAAAAATGCTGAAAAAACAACACCCAAACTGAATGAAATACAGCCAGCAATTACTACTAATTTATTTAGTGTACCTGTTTCAAGTATTACATTAGTCACAACATCTTCAACACAATCTATGTCTGAAATGTTTGGTCATAATCTGTCTGAAATTACACCAAAAGTAAATGAAGAAAATAAAATTAACACACCGTGTTACAGTTTAATTTTGAAAGTCCAACAACTTCTGCTGTATCATCAGTAGAAACGAATAATAAACAATAATAATAAATTGAATATTGAACAATTCGGTACAAAGGCCTATCAATAACCTAAATTACAATTTCAATCGCCAGAGAAAAATGAAAATACTAATGATAAATCTCCAACTGAAGGACAAAAAGATTCTAAGAGTGATAAAAATGTACCATCTTTCCTGTTTACTATTCCAACATCAACTCCTGGTAGATCTGTTGTAAATTCATCTACAACTAATAATCTTTCTAAAATAAATGAAAACAATTTGCCTACAGCAGGTTTTGATAGTTCAATTGAAAATTCTTCAAAGAAAAATAAGTTTTACTTTTGGAAGTAATGAAAAACATTCAACACTTGTAATGCAATTTGGTGCACCAAAAGTTGATGACAAACAATCAACACCAGTAATGCAATTTGGTTCTCTAAAAGCCGATGAAAAACAGTCAACACCAGTAATGCAATTTGGTATACCCAAAGTAGATGACAAACAATTAACACCTGTATTGCAGTTTAGAACTACTAAAGATGCAATAAATCCAATTTCTACTTCATTATTTTTATTTGGAAATAATCAAAAATCAATTGATAATTCAAAAACTACTGATTCTATTAAATTTCAATTTGGTTCATCTAAACCTGAAACTACATCTTCAACAGAATTAAAAAAATGTAGTATTTGTGTCAAATAACTTACAAAATCAAAATCTTTTTAATTTTGGAAAAACTGACAGTAATATATTATCACTGACTATTAGTAACCCTCCTAAATATGATAGTACTAGCAGAAAGTCGTCTCAAAAATTACAATTTGGTGCATTGCCTACACCAGTGTTAGAAACATCAAATTCTGATCAATCAAAGCCTCCTCAGTTTACTAATACTGTTAGCCAATCTATTGACAGTCAAGGACCTAAATTAATTTTTGGAAGTCAAACTACTGAAAATAAATCTACAACATCGACTTCTAGCATGCTTTTTCTTAATAACACAGCTAATGGTGTATTTCAATTTAATAGTTCTAGTACAAAATTTAATGACAAACCTTCTGAAGCACCAACTAATTAATTTCAATTTTCTTCAGTTAAAACTGCTCCTACTTTTGGTGCTTCTGCTTCACAAGATAAGAAAGCACTTCAGTTTAGTGTTCCAAAATCAGAAGACTCTAAAACACAATTTTCAACTCCAACATTTTGGTCACAAAATTTAAATATTGCTCTTTTTAAATTTGGAAGTAACGATAAACCAGCATCTTTTGGAAATACATTCCCTGCCTTGAATCAACCATTACAATTTAAAAATAATACTGAAAAACCAGTTGAACCATTTAAATTTGGAAGTGCTGCCCCAGCTAGTAATGCATTTCAATTTAGTGCTAACCAGAATGTTAGTGGTCCTGTGAAATTTGGTCAAACTTCAAATACGTTTTCTACAACAACATTTAGTGGTTTTGGCAGTTCAGTACCTCCACAAATTACGTCATTTGGTAATGTTCAACCATCATAACCCTCGCCATTTGGCAACATGACTTCTCCTAATGCAGCTCCCACATTTGGTAGTGCAGCATCACCACCTTCATCTAATACATTTGGAACAAATCAAGGTTTTCAATTTGGAAGTACAAACAATATTCCTAATAACTCATTGACTTTTGCCTTTGGCGGTATTCAACAACCTCAAAAATCAGAAGGAACTTTCAATTTTAATGCTGCTTCACCCTCAGTTGTTTCTCCTTTTCAATTTTGTCAAACACCATCAGCATTGTCAACACCACAATTTGGAGGAACACAAACCCAAGGTATTAGTTGTTAAGTATTTATATTGTTTTGTACATATTTGACCTTAATGAAATATTTTAATCTTTATAATATATATATAATAGGGGTCTCAAACGATATATTTTTAAATATCGATATCAAATTGATATAGCCAATATTTTATCACAGCATTAAAATATTGACATATTAAAAAATCGATATATGGATAAATCGAAAAACCAATTTAGTATTTAGTATTTTCTAATTATTTATAAATAGTACATACCTAGGTATATATCAAAAATTCAACATATTGGTATCAATAATTTATCAAAAATATAACATGTAATAAAAAAAAAAGTAGAAATCAATTTTTTTAATTTTATTATTTAAAAATTATAAATATTACAAACATGAATATAAAGTAAATCAATTAAAATACAAAAATCTACCATGTTCTTTGGTATGATTTATTCTGTGTGAATTTTATTTTTATTTTTTTCTACGTCTTTATATGACATATCTGTGCTCTATGAACATATTAAAAATTAAAAAAAGTGGGTTTACAGAATATGTGAATATTAATAAAATAAGAATTTCTAATGAGCTACTTACAATGACGTAATATTAGGTCCGATCGACCAATACATTGTAAATAAAAACAATAAATATTAAATATTATATTTTATAGTTTTATACCTTAAACAGTGATCGCATATGTAACATATGCGTGCGAGTCAAAGAGTACCTAATCCCCAATGCATTTACACTCACTTATGAATAACAATAATTATTAATTAATAATAATTAATTTACTATAAGTACTAATTCTAATACACTGCATAATGCATTGAATCATGGAATTACCTACACACAAATCCTTAATAAATGCCCCATTCCTCGTTAAGTGATTTTTTTCTATATACCTAAATTACGATATTTATTTAGATATCAATATTTTCAATATCGATAAAAAGATTTTGATTTAGATATCGATAAATTGATTTTAATTTCGATATCGATATTAAATATATCATATTTGTATTTGATATTAATATCGAAAATAGTTTTAAAAAAAAAAATCTAATGATATCGATATTATATCGAAATATCGAAATTGTTTGAGAACTCTTACATATAATATCTAATAGTTATAATTATATTATTTCCTTTTTAGGATCATTTAATTTTGGATCACCTCAAATAACTGCAACTGGTATGTTTAATATAATTAATATCATGAACGATACTAGCATTAAATTAATACATTTTTAATTTCATTTTTGTATATGTTTAATTAAGTTATGCCAGGATCTAGCCAACCATTATTTTCAATGGGAACAGCTCCTGGTGGTGAAAGACGTAAAGCTAAAGCAGTTAGAAGACGACAATAATTAAATATGAACTAACTTTTTAATTTTTAAAATACTTATATTTTACCTATGTAAATGTATATTTTGGACCAACTCAACCTAACTAGTCATGTTCTGTACAAAAAAAAAAATATCGATAGTATCAATATCAAAACTTAATTTCTTGACAACGATTTATTTTTAAATAAATATCAATATTTGATATTTGATAACAAAAAAAAAAAATGTGTATATTAGGTTTATAAGTATAATATATTAAATCACCCTTCCAATAATACAGATCTAAATGTGACTGAAGCATATAGATAGGTACGCCTCTCTTTTTTACCGATAAAGAACTGGATAGTAATGGGTAGATCACATGTAAGTGGTAGATCGCATGCTACACTGGCACCAATTAATTTATCTAATATCTGCAATGTGTATGCTGATTAAGTCCAATGGGTGTTATTAAAAAATTAATTACAGGCGACAACAATTGAATGGCGATTTGTTAAATTTTCTATGTAACTGTAACATTTTAAATATATATTATGTACTATATAATAATGTTATTTGATATGTTAATTCATTTTATTTAAAAATATAAATTATTAATTACCTTAATACCTAATATATATTTTAGTAAAGCTTATATTATGAATACAGCATAGGCGTGCACACGGTGGGTACCGGGTGTGTCCGGACACCCCTCGAAATGTTGTAAATAGGGCCCTGCGATTTAGGTCTATAAGTAATGGGCCTGTATTATAAGTGATATTGCTCAAATGAAATGTAATCTACTCTAGAATATCTGGTAATAGATAAATGGTGTTTCGTAATGGACAAACTAAAACTATACGTTCTGAATTCTCGTGAGAATACTTATTTTGATGTTACAACAGCTACATTTGACTACAAAGGTACAAATCATAAATAATTGAAGCTATCTGAGAAGAATACACAATGTTTAAGGAAAATATATTGATTGAGACTATTTATATATATATCGAATATATCGCACAATATCAAATAGAAACATAAAGTTACGTTTATTTAATCGTTTATCAAATGTACCTACCAAGGGCATATTTGAAGGGGGCATTCGCCTCCCCTCCATGGCGTATATTTTTTTGAATATAATACATTGATTTATTTAAAAAATGTATTATATAAACAATTAAGAATATAAATTACTAGTCTATCATTATATATATAATAATAAATTCAATAATATGTCAATTTGATCACGGGTATCAATTTTTGTTTATCTTCTTATAACATTTTTTTGGTTGTAGAACAAATAGTGGTATTATTTTCTACACTGTGTAGGCTGCACTGGTATTTTTTTGTTAGGTTACGTCACGAACTTAAGCAGAAGATGCAAATAGTAAAAAATTGATTACAAGCGCTTTTGTGGATGAGGAGAACCGAGAGATAAACAACCTATTAGTTTTGCTTCGGCTTTTGTTTTGTCTCTTGTTAATACACGTCATTTTACACGATACAAATATTTCCCATTACTTTGTAGGTAGCTTAAGATTTATTTCTCTGTTACATTAAGGTTTACTACATACAATGAGTGAGTCGGAACAAGGCAACAAGGTCAATGAATTCGTAGGCATTACTAATGTAGACACAGAAAGAGCTAAATTTTACTTGGAAATGGCTGCCTGGAATATGGACGTAATGAGAATAACACGATAATCGCACTTTTGTTTAAATTTTTAACAGTTATTTTACCATTTGATTTTAGTCAGCACTGGCTACCTTCTATGACGAAGGAGCTGATGATGAACCATTAAGCAATAATGCAGTGCAGGCTCCTTCTTCAAGACCAGCTGCTATTTCAAACAGGGATGCACCGGTAGCGAGTGCATCAAGTTATAAGCCAGTACCTAAACCGAAAAAATGGCAACCACAATCTAGGTACTTAGTACTCATATCTCTAAAATTAATTATAATTTGTTCAATTATTATTATTATTTTTTTTTAGAATTATGACATTCAGTTCTTTGAGGAATTCTGAGGTAGAAGATAAAGATAGTGATGATGAAGAAGGACAGAGATTCTATGCAGGTGGATCAATTACAAGTGGCCAACAAGTTATTGGACCTCCACGTAACAATGCAGATGTTATTACAGATATGTTTCAGACAGCACAGAAGTATAATAGTTTTTTTTTAGCTTTAATTATATATATCAACATTTAATTAATAGAAAACCAAATAAATTTAGGCATGCTACTACAGCAGCAAGCAGTAGCAGTACTGCTCACGAAAGTGGTGCATCAAATTTCTTTGGAACAGGTTATAAATTAGGTCAGACTGAAAATGATACAGAAGGTTTGTTATATTTAATTACTTTGACTTTTTCTTAAATTAATTTTGTTATCTTATAATTTTGATTTAAGTAATTCCATCTCTTAACCCGACTTCTAAACGTTCATCTCATCAAGAAGAAGTTGTATTAAAAATATGGAAAGAAGGATTTACTATCAATGATGGTGAACTGCACAGTATTGATCAACCAGAAAATAGAGAATTTTTACTTTTAGTTGCTAGAGGGTAAGAACAATTTTTTTTGTAGAAATAAGAATACTTAGATAGATGAGTGAAGTGACAAGAGAAAATAGAATAGACTGTTATGGTTTGGATATGTAATGAGGTGAGATAAAAAAAAAACAATAAGAGTAATTGTGAAAATGAACATCAACTAAAGGAACAAGAAGAAGATCAAAAAAAAAGATGGTTAGATACAATTGAGAATTATATGAAAGCTATTGGTGTATGCGCAGGGGATGTAAAAATCAAAATGAATAGAGGTTTAGGACAAGGATGGCTGACCCCAAAAAGAGAGAAAAGGAGAAGAAGATAAAATAATAATGATTTGCAGTTTTTAATATTATTTACATATAAATATTTCAAGTAAAATTATGGTTATTAATAATAGTTTTTTTTATTTAGAGAAGAGATTCCTCCATTACTATTGAAAGAAGCAAATGTATCTAGTGAGGATGAACTTCATGTTAGTGTCGAGGACCACAGATATGAAGAATATGTACCAACTAAACAAAAGAAGAAAGTTTTTGGAGGATCTGGTCATTTATTGGGAAGGTATTCTTTTGTACTTCATTTAACCTTTAAATTATTAATTTATTTGCTTTATAATTTATAGCCCTGCACCAGAAGTTGTTGAAAATACTGTTTCCAAAGAAACTTCTTCAGATACTGGTGTTACTAACGAAGCTGCTGCTCGTGCAGAGGTTCCTTTAACACCAGATGCACCTACCACTACATTACAGATCAGATTAGTAGATGGTACGAGACTGATAGCTACATTTAACCATAATCACACTATCGGAGATGTTCACCGTTACATAAGAACGTATCCTTTTTTAAAAGTTAATTAATTGAAACAATTCAAAAATTGATTAATTAATTTTTTTATTGACTAGTTCAATTTCCGTTTTAAAACACTATTTCACTAAATAACACTAAAAGTTGATTTTCTAATTATGAAAAACATATTTTATTTATAATATGTATATTTTATTAGGTTTTTGAATTAATAGTATGATATTCATTGAATTGTAAAATATAAGGGTATTGTCTTTTAGATTTAGTTATAATTTTTCCAATGGTATTGCCATAGGGTGTACTACTTATACCCTCAAGTTTCAAGCATTTCCCAGAAAAGTATTAATTGTAATTAGTTTAACATGTTTTAATTTTGAATAATAATAATATAAAAACTAAATTAAAGTTAAAATTTATTAACTGTCTCACAATTTTATTTTTTCATATTCAGTCGTGATTTTATTGACTATTTTTTTTAACAATGAGTTTTTATATTCAAAAATTGGTTGTACTTTACAAATATAATAATATTTCAAGCTAAGCTTTTATTTATTTATATTTTAATTTTGTAATAAAAATTCAGATTTTCCTCGATTAATGTATTACTATAAAGTAATTATTGATGGTATCAATTTATTTTTCTGTAAAAATAAAAATGTTTATATTCACTTGTGAAAATAGTATATTCTCAACAAAATTTATGAGATCATCACTGATTCTTTTCAAAATCACTTAAATAGTAAGAATTAATTTTTATTTTTTATTGTTCATTACTAATTTATTTCATTAAAAGAAAAAAAATTAAAAATTCTCTCATTCTTAATACATTTAAATTTTATGGTATTGACTAAAGATCTTTGCATTTTAGGTTTAATTTTAAAATAGCTATGTAGGTCTTATAATTGAATACAAATTGTAATTTGTTTTAATCAGTTAACATACTAGCCTAATTAAAACATTAAATTAGAGTAGTGTTTTTTTGTTTTCCACAAAACGATATCTATTGAAATATATATATAAAAAGAAATTTGTTTAAAATAGATTTACAAAATTAGTGTTAAAATTAAATCATAAATGTTTTTTACTACCAAATTATTGTCATTAGAGAATTTAAGATAAAGTTGTATTTTTATTGCTATTAATAAATGTATAATGTGTAAAATCTTTTTACAATGTGAATATGAGGGCTAAAATACAATGATATAAATTACATGAAAAAATAAATAACCTGCACTTCATAAAGATAAGGTTAAAATTTTTTATTGAAAATTAGTTTAATTTTTATGTATTGAATAAATTTCCTTAACTCAATTATGTATTAGTGCTAGAACTAACTTTGGTTCTACATCATTCAAACTACAGTCATCATATCCTCCTAAGACATTAGACAACAATGATCAAACATTGTCAGAAGCTGGATTACTCAATACTGTGATTTTTCAACGTATTGGTTGAAATATTTTAGTCTTATATGTTTTTTTTATTTTATAAATTAATATAATATTATATATTTATGTTTTAAAAATTGAAGTTAAAAAAAAAGTAAACATATTATTTCAATAATAAAAATAGTAATATTTATTTGATTTTATATAAAAATTCTTATAAAAAATATATACATATTATTCCTTTTTAAAAATAACAGTCATAATAAATTCAAAAATAATATTTTACAGAATAATCACAGTGTTTTTCTTTCATGAATAATGGAATATTTCAAATGGGATCTCCACAATGTTAATAATTTACTGTTAACAAAATTAATTAAATGCCTTGCCATACTTTTGTCATCTTTTCCAGTAATTTTTTCACATATTTCTTCCAATCTATGAATAGATCCTAAACTCGGAGTTTGATAGTTTATTTTGTCTTGTTCATCGATGATAGAATTTACAGTATCATTGGTTTTTTCACATAATGTTTTTTTCATGGCCATAGGCCATGATTTTTTTAATAAACGATTGTTACAACATTTTTTTACTTCAAATGTATAATCAACACCTTCCTTAAAATCATTTAATTGCTTATGATCATTTAACACCAAGTACTGATCCCATGATAATAAAATACTATGCCTTGCATAGCTTTGTGTCCTTTGTATACAATCCTTTTGTATAACTGACTTTTCCATTAGTAAATCTTGAGCAGGAAATTGCCAAGAAAGGGTAGAAAAGGTTTTATATAGTTCCTTGTGACCTGCAATTGTGCGTAAGAATTGCAGAACTTGATAATGGATGCCTATATCATAAGCTACAAAATGACGAACACCTATCAAAGTATGATATGCAATAAATTCTATTAGATATGTATCGGGTACAGCAGAATAATCAGGTGCAATACAAATAATTAAATCATCTTTGTCCTTGGTTTCTTTTTTAATTTCGATAGGTATAAAAAGTTTTGATGTGTTTTCTTTCCCCAGTAAAATTCCATATGGCTTTGTGTTAACAGGAATATCGTTGGGCTTACAATGAACCTCATACTCATGAAAATTTGAATCACGAATGTTGAGTTGTATGTTGTAAGACAATTTCCCTGGCCTAGATGTATATATATCGGCCAACTTGAACCATACACGACATTCATAACCTGAAAAGGCTGATCTTGGTCCTAATAGCAGCAAATGAACTGATTGTTGTTGAGATGACCAGAAAGCGGAATATGCATAGTGTTCATCGTGCTTGGTCCAGGAAATCGGGGGTTTCGCTAATAAATTATCATTTTCTAAATCAATATAAAACTTTTCTTCCAGAAGAACACAATTAGTAAGGTTATCGGCTGAATAACCAAAAAAGTTGAGCACTTCTAAGACATTCAAAAGTTTCATATATTCATACCTGTACAATAACAGTGAAAAGATGCTGACGAAAGATACAAGCACTAATAGTAATTGTTGATACTTTCTCATCTTAATGTATCGTTGTCAGGCATGGGACGCAAACATTGGAATCGATATTACAAACAAGATTTGTTTTTATCTTACAATAATGAAAACATTTGCAATTAACAATTACTTTACACATTAAGGTCATTAATACCAAAGAGAGGCATGTTTATGAAAACAATTAACTCAAGTTCCGTTAAGACAACATAAGATCAATTAGTTAAAAGTTAACAGTCATCAAATTATAAATTTAACTTAATAAATTGGAAGTTTTTATGAAAAATAATATTGTTGGTACTTTTGTTTTCTTATTTTTTTTTATCACGTTTCTTATCACACTCCGGGATAACTAGAATATCAATACACCCATATATTTATATATTTATGCAAATAAACCTTATTGGGTTTGATAACAGGTCCTCAATTGTAGATTGAAATTAATTGGTTAGGTAATTCCACACAATCAAATTGGATATTCGGATAGATAATTCTTGGTTCCGGTCTTAGATCTGAGACCGAAATCTAAACTGTTTACCCTAAGCGATTATTTTTCCTTTTTATCTGATAAAAGTTCGTATGCTTGTATCTAATCCATGTTGAAAGAAGGTAAGCTATTCCTATTTGTTGCAGACGTTACTGCAGTCTTAAACCGTTCACATCTATGTGAACTTGTGTATAAATGATTTATGTCTCCAAGTGGTTAATTCGTAATTAACAAGTTTTTTTATTTTATATATTATAAAACACATGCATAATAAGTAGTGTACTTTGAGTTTTTTTTTTTTTTAAATACCAATGGTACAACATAACTACTTTTCGATTTTCAGAGGTGTCTCGGTACTATAGTGATATTATGGAAAAAGAGCCTGATGTAAGTGCTAGTATAGCAGCAATAAGTACACTGTTGAAACTATTGGAACATGATAAATGTAAGTATTTGTTATGAGAATGACTATTAATGATTAAAATAAATAAAATTAATCTATAAATGTTATAATTATTATACTTAGTAATTTTTTTTTTTGTAAAAATCTAACTGGTTGAATATTTTTGTGCAGCAAACAAGCTTTTATTTTCAATAGTCTATGATAATATGTTCTATTGTTATTTAATATTGCCATTTATCTGTAATTATTTTTATAGTAATGTTAATTCAATACTTATATTTTGTTTAATATTAAAATGTATTTAATGTTTAGCTGAAACTGTACAAGAACTTGATTTGAATTTGCAATCTGCTGTAGAAGTAATAACAAATACAAGTTTCCGTGTCACTGGTGTATCATCAGGATGTGCATTATTTATGCGATTTATTACATTTGCAAAATTGGATAACATAGTAAGTATTTGAATCAATGTTTAGTGTTACTTAAATTTGGCTTAATTAAGTTTCATTTTGAATATTTAGACAGTGAAACCCATATTAATGGACTTCTCACAATAGCGGACTACTTATTATTGGATAATTTATTGGGTCTTAGCAGAAGTATACTTGTATTTGATAGGCCTTACATGCTCCTAATATTTTGTGTTCTTCAATACAAGTATAATGTACTTTTAATTCTAAATACAAGAGTGTGTATAGCAAAAATATTTTTTACATTTCCATCACAATATTAAAACTGAAATTATGTAAATGTAATCGACAAGTATATTATTTATCAGTGCTTTGGGTTTTATGTAGCCTTCACTAAAATAATTATTGGGTTACAAAGTGCTGTAATTTATATATGCAGTTTATTTGAGTATAACATTATGTCTAGCGGAAAAAGAAAGAGATTAACTTTGGCTCAAAAAATTGAAGTTATAAAATTTGTGGAGGCTGAAAATGTTGGAGTAAGAGCTGTAGCAGAAAAATTTGACATTGGAAAAACACAGGTCAGTGATATTTTAAAAAATAAAGTTTATCTGTCACAAACGTTTGTAGAAAAAGGAAGTGAAAATTCTAAACGTAAATTTCCAAAATCAGATGGTGAAATAATTGATATTGTGATATTTCAATGGTATTTACATGCTCGTGTCAATAATTTGCCAATATCAGGTCCATTATTAAAAGAAAAAGCTTTAGAATTAGCATCGGAAGTTGGTCTCAATGATTTTAAGGCTTCTAACGGGTGGTTACAAAAATTTAAAGAACGACACCAGATTTCTTATAAAAGTACTCACAGAGTTTCTGATTCAGTTAAACAATGTATTGTTACTGAATGGTTCGATAAAGTGAAAGAACTTATTAATGGTTATAACAAATGTGATATTTATAATTGTGATGAAACTGGGCTATTTTACCGCATCACTCCTGAAAAGACAATGAATTTTATTAACGAAACTTGTAGTGAGGGAAATTTATCAAAGGAAAGACTTACCGTGATGTTATGTACCAATATAATTGGAGATTTTGAAAAACCACTAATCATAGGGAAAATTGGAAAACATACCTATTTCAAAGATATTAATATGGACGACCTTGGAATAATTTGGAAGTCCAATACTAAGGCATGGATGACACGTGATATTATGACTGAGTGGCTTCTAGATCTTGATTTTAGAATGACTCAAGCAAAAAGAAACATTATTCTATTTTTAGATAATGCAAGTTCTCACCCTTTGCTTTCTAATCTGCAATCAGTTAAACTAATGTTTTTTCCACAATACATATCATCTTTCCATCAACCATTATACCAAGGAATTTTTCAAAATTTTAAAATTTTATATCGAAAATATTTATTGAGGCATTTACAAATAACTTTAAATAATTCTTCTGAATCAATGAAAAAAATCAATGTACTTAATGCTATTATTTGGATAAAATCTGCTATAAATGATATTAAAAGATCAACAGTAGAAAATTGTTTCATTAAATCTGGGTTATTTGCTTCTAATGAAAACAAAATCACAGAAGAACAATTTTCAATTGATGATTTCAAAAAACTATTAGCATGTTTTGTTAGTAATTCAGTTAAATATGAAGAATTGGATAACAAATTATTAACAGAAAACGAGTCTTTGAATTTAACTAAAATAATGCAAGAACTCATTGATCCACAAATTAGTGAAGATGAAGATGAAGAAAACAATGACGAAGTTACTTAATAGTTTAAAGACAAAGATACTGTACTAAAAATTACTCAAAAATGTTATTCTTAGAAAGAAAACAAAATAAAAATAAGTTAAATGTCCAAGTCATTTGCTTCTACTGATAATAGAAGGATAAATTTACTCATTTAAAAACGTTAAATTAATTTGTATGTGTACCCTTAATATTTGCATTAGTAAATTTTGTTGTATTTAAAAGTATTTGTTTTGGGTTTTAGTAAAATATAGAGTATAAAATACAATTACATTTTTAAAATTAATTTAAAAGGCATTATTATGATTATAGTATTGTGTACTCTATTTATTTTATGTTTATAAAATAAAAATCTAATAACATTTTGTAAGAAATAGTTTTAATTTTTAGTAAAGTTATTAGAATAAATATGTTATTAAAAACAAATGTAATATAATCTATTGTACATGCAAATTATAAATTAATATTATATTTTTATATGTATTAAATGTTTATTGATATATTTATAATAATTTAATGTGTAATAGATATATTTCTCATTACAAGATAACTGAATGTGTATCATTTATTTGTTAATTAAATTATTTATAAATATTGAACTTAATTTTTTTAAATTTTTCATATATTCAAGAGTAAGCATTAATAATTAAAATTGTAATATAGATAATTTAATGAGTACTTTTATATACTTCCTTTTAGACTTTTGCCGATTGTAAGAAAGTCATGTTGGACAGAGGAAAAGTATTTTTGAAAAAATTGACTGAAGCTAGAAACAAAGTTGCCAAAATTACTCTTCCTTTTTTCGTTGATGGTATAGTAAGTATAAATAAATATCATATGTATACTTACTAAGACTATGCAATGTAAGAATTAACTGGAAAATAATAACAACACACTAATTAGTAATTCTAATATGTTTATTATTTAAGAATATCTTAACACATTCAAAATCAAGAGTAGTGTTAGAAGCAATGAAATTAGCAGTAAATTCTCAAAAAAGATTTCATGTTTATGTATCTGAATCAGCTCCTGATAAAAGCGGGTAATTTTATCTTATATTAAATTAATTTTTTATAAAACCTATATTATTAATATTACATTTTTGTATCTCTTAGAATTGAAATGTATAACTGTTTGAAGAAACTTAGTATTCCTTGTACGTTGATATTAGACTCTGCTGTTGGTTACATCATGGAAAGAGTGGATATGGTTATGGTAGGAGCAGAATGTGTTGTAGAAAGTGGTGGAATCATAAATAAAGTAATGAAGTTATTATTTTAATTTTATTCACTAATAATTATTATTTTAGATTTTACAATTTGATATACTTTTACTATTTAATTCTAATTTCTTATAAATCTATTTCACACATTTCACGCTAAATTTATACATTATAATTTAAATTTATCTGGAAAAATCAATATACAATCATAAATTGATGATTTTCAGAAATGTTGAACTCTGTCAAATTATTTTTAATGTATTGGCTATAAGACATAGAAAAATAATAAATATTTTAATATAGAATAATTAGTTTTTTGAAATCATTGAAAATGTTACCCTCTATAAGTTTTAATTTTTTAACATAAGTAAATTGTAATTATAATGTACTTTAACTGTTTAAAACTCATTTTCAGTGCGCACTATACATGTTTCCACGAGAGAAAGGTATCATTTCGAATAGGTAGTAGTCCCCTCTAAATAATCATGATATTGGTCAACGGTTCTTGACAGCGACTCAACCCATATGGCACTTACAAAAATGTGGTAAAGTATCCCCAAAAATGACCGGTTTTGGTCGGTAGCTGATACCTTTCTCTCGTGGAAACAATTGTAAACAATATATTCAATTTAATTCCCTTTAAAGAATATTAGCATCTTAGTAAAGTGTTTTTTTTTTTTTTTTTAAATAAATATAATTAATTATGCATCAACTGATTTTTCATAGAAATTTATGCAACAAAAAGTATTCTTTATAAATTATTTATTTATTCTAGATTGGAAGTTGTACTATGGCTATTTGCGCTAAAGAACTGAAAAAACCATTTTACGTACTGACTGAAAGTTATAAGTTCTCCCGAATGTATCCTCTAAATCAAAAAGATTTACCTAATAATTTTAAAGTAAGAAATACTTTTTTTAACTAATTATATAACGAAGATTATTTTAAAAATTATTATGATTAAGTTGTTACATGATGGTATGATTTTAGGTTGTTTTTTTTTTCATAATTCTTGTTCTTATTTTAATTGTTTTAATTATAGTTATTCTTTTATTAAAATAATTGGCAGCTGTCTTTTTTCTATATTATAATGTATTTTTGTCCAAATTTCCAATATATGTATTAAAATTTAATTAAAACCCTAAAAATACATTATTTAGCATAATAGTTTGTCATAAAATTGAGGTCAAGCATATGAGGCTTTGAAGTGCTAGAAGTCTCTAACATGTTTTTTTTTTAATTATTATATTGTATGTTATACAAAAATTTAAACTTTTTTAAAAATAATGCTCATGCAAGTATGAATTTATATAATTTACATATTATTTCTACATAGTAGATACATTAATAGAAAAGCTAATTCGTAAAATAATGTTTATTCAATGGTCATAGTTGCCGAGTATGCTTTTGTATAATAAAAAAACAAATAATAATAGACATTATAATAATTTATTTTTCTCAAACAATACGATAGCATAGATGATTTCTTCCAATCCCATTTTATGCATACCATTTTAATTTATTCGAATTGATGCTGATTATTTTTCTACCTACATTTTATGATTAGTAGTATTTTGTTAGTTTAAAAAGAAACAATTTACGGATATTCTTTAAGGATAATATTATATATTAGTGAACATTTTCAAAATTACCTTTTATTTGATTTTAATAAGTAGTTCAATTTCATTTTTATCAATGGTTCATTGATTTTTTTTCCTTATATCTACAAATATATTATCATAATATAATAATGGTAATTTTCTATTAGTTTATGTTGAAAAATTGAATTTAATATAATTATTTTTCCCTATAATTTAGTATACTGCAAACAATTTGAACGATGATAATTTATTAAATGCTCATCCTTCAGTGGATTATACACATCCATCTTACATCAGCTTGCTTTTTACTGACCTTGGAATATTGATGCCATCAGCAGTTAGTGATGAGTTAATCAAACTATATCTTTGATTTATATAAAATCTACATGTAAAATGAAGTGTAAGTTTTTTTGTTATATAAATAAAACATTTATATATGTAAGTTATAATTTATTATAATATCTGTGTGACAAATTATTTTTTTTATCATGAGTTATTTTTCCTTACCTTGAAAATAATTATTTGGTGTTAAAAATATTTACATTAAAATGTAATTTAATGTTATTTTTTTATGATAATATTATTTATTTATTATGGTAAATAATTCAATTTTGAAAAAAACTTTTACTGTGTTGTGAATAATATATATTTAAAATGACTGTTTATTGTTATTCTTAACATTGTTATTTGAATGGTTAACATTTTACAATTTAAAATGAGATTAAAAGTAAAAAAATTAACTTGGTTTTTTAATAAATAATAAATAAACAATACAATAACAATAAATTGTTTATTTTAATCACCTTAAAATTAATTACTAAAATAGGTTTTATATTAAATTTTGAATTTTTTGAACAAGATTACATTTTACTAAACATTAAATGTCTATTAATGGTGACTGCAATACATTTTTAATGAAAATACACGTGTTAATAATATAAAAGTTTATTTATTTAATTTTTTTCTTTTTGTATTGAAACTTATGGTTGGTTTTGCAGTTGGATATCGGTTCTTCACTCTAATTTGTTTTCAACTAACTTATCCAGCTACAACTCTTCAATTTAGTGGAGCTTGATAATCTTGTATCAGAAATCATTCGTTTGACAAATTAATTTCATGAATGTGAGGACATTTCATTCAAAGATCATTCTTTTCTTCAATTTTCTTTTCTATTTTTTATAAATTAGTTCATTTTCGTGTCTCAAGATAAGATCCATCATCTTGCTTTAATGGTTTTGATTTATTTTTCGAATTAGAACATAAAAACAAAAATGGGTAAGAAAATGGATAATATAAAGGAATGCTTAAGGTGCATTAGAAATTGTTCGAAGTTCGTTGTTATGTGCTTCACTTTTGGATCTCACTTTCAAGCGTAATGTTTTTATATTATCTATAGGTCAGTTATACTCAATAATTTTTCTTTAACGTCATGGTTTCATTTTAACCTGTCTTTATATTCTATTAGGGATTTGCCCCACAGACAAATATGCTATTGATTACTTTCTAGGAAATTAGTCATACCAGAAGATGGTATTGATGGCGAACAAATAAAAATTAAATAGTTGGGATGGGTAATGGATGAAAGAATTTATTCAAAAAGTTGACTCTTTTAGGTGAACTGAATCAGTACACCATAATTAAATAACTTAATAACTCAGTGTTATCTCCTAGTTCTTACAAGTTCCTGATTTAATGTTATAATTTTCGCAGCTCATGACTTGTGAGGTATCGATTGAATTACATAGTTCACTGAATTGGTGATTCTTTATTGTTTAAAGTAATTGTTTTATCTTATTAGTTAATACATCATCTAAACCATCTATACAGTTTGCACCTTTCAATTTAAACAAAATAATTTTTTAAAAGTGCATTAAAATTAAATACTTATAGGGTTGATGCAATTTCCATTTTGTATCTGAACTATACCAAAAATGTTTTACATTTTTAAAAAGATTTTTCTAATCCAGCAATATCATCCATCCATTAATAAATGTAATATTGAATTTCGTTATGATATTATAAGTCTTAGAATTATATTTTTTAAGTAATTGAACATAAAATCTAAAAAGTTATTTTGGTATTCAGAATCTTGATATTGAAAAGAAAAACGTTTTGCTTCTTTTGGTTCATCAGAACTTGATTCATCATCTAATTAAATATTTAAGTGAGTTATGCCTTTTTTTTTAAATTTAATATTTTACACACTCGCTTAACAATTAAAATATTGGAGAAAACCACCCAACAAAACAGATAATGTCCTTCCCTTGAAGTTTGATTATATGTCAGTTTATTCTGATATTTAATCTAACATCACTACATATGAATTATTACTGAACGTAAATTTGCTATATTGTACCATTGATTAAATTTACATAGATAGTCCACGGTATAGGAAAAAATGGAAACCTATTAAGTAATAAGAGAAATGTGACAACCAGGGGCGTATTTAGGGGGGGGGGTGATATGGGTGTTAGAACACCCCCCAATCGACCATATTCTATGGTATTTTATCAAATTGCTAACTTACAGCATAATTTGAATAAACGTTATATACAACTTGTTGATTTTACATACACTGTCTTAATATAATCATTTTCATTAGTATAATTATTTATATAAATACATGTTATTTATTTATGTAATATAGGAGGGAGGCAGTGCCTCCCATTTACCATAAGTCTATTAAATTTTAAAACACCCCCGTTAAATGAATCCTGGATACGCCACTGGTGACAATAGATAGAGTTAAGTGTCATAATCAGTGGCGTACTTAGACCTGAACTTTAGGGGGGGGGGGGTTAATTTTTAAATTAACATATTGGATGGCGTGACACCTGAACATAAAAAACATATCGTACATTTTAATAAATTACTAATTTTTATTTGTGATATTTTTTTATTGACATGTCATAATAAATAATAAATTCATTTAAATTTTTCGAAATGGAATGGAGTAATGAATTGTGTCTAGATTTCATTCAACATTATCAACAACATCCAGTGCTATGAAACCCAAAAAATAATTATTATTTTTCTAAAACAAAGAAAAAAAAAGTCCTAAATTTGTTGGGTTCTTTTCGCGTGAAAGAGTCATTTGAGTGACAATAAAAATTATATAATTATTATTAAAGTTTAAGTTTCAAACACAATATACGAAACACAACATACACTGTATATGTTCTCCACACAACTGAATATCCGGAGCGCAGGTTTATCGCATACAAGCTTGTTGTGCGTGGTAACGTCCATACTGAGCATACACAATACACAACGTGAGCACACATGCTCGGTCTATGCGTGCTCTAGTGTGTACGCGGCTTTAGATAAAAAAAATGAAAGTATAGTATATCAATGTGAAATATGCCGTACCAATGACACAACTCTACCGTAATCTCTATAACTATAATTTTGATGACTAACAAACCATAAAAATGTTGGATTGTGCTCTTCAGGTGCTTTTCATCGACCTGAAGGTTCTGTCAAGTATGAATGAATTTAAATAAATAAACAACCATAAGGAAACTAATTATTGAGCAGAATCTATAGAAACCTTTTAAATTGTTACAAAAATGTGTCAGCTCAAATCGACAAATAAGTTCTTTGACCGTAGATCTATTCGATTTAAAACGCAAACAAATAATTTGAAATTCATAAAAAAAATCGTTATTATTTATGAAAGACCTTTATCAAAAAATTTATCATATTACCACAGCTATTGTAATGTAATCTGTGATATTACCTATACTTGTTTCCCCGAGAGATAGGTACCAGCCACCCAAGGTTTACAGAAGGTTTATCATATACGAGGATATCTATAAGCTTTGACAACCGCCAACCAAAGCCGTTCGTCGCTGCGCACACCACTCCACATTTTTGTAAGGTTTCACATGGGTTAAATCGCCGATCAAGGCCGTCCGCAGAAATTTTTCTCGGGGGGGGGGGGGGGGGGGAGTGAAAACTACAATTGTATATGGACCATAGAGTTACTCTATGATATGTACCTACAACCAGAGACGTATTCAGAAATTTGGTGCCCGGGTGCTAACGTTTTAAAGGAGAGATTTTTCGTCGACAATTTATGTCCCCCTTCCCATAAATATTTCCAATCTTAGAATATTATCTTAAATAAAAAAAAAATATTATTGTTTATCAACACAAAATGGGCTATGTAAAAATTTGATGTCGCCCGGGGCGATCGCCCCCTCTAGCCTCCACCTAAATACGTCACTAACTATGATTAAAACCAAATACCGAATAGTGATAATGAAAACTGACGAACAATTTTGTGTCGCCTAATTAGTCCTCCTTATCGCCCTCAAAGACTGCTGTATGAAATGCAAATAAATGCAATAAATTACTATACAAATTATTATCTAAAGGAGCGGATGGGCCGTGAGGCGTCAATCGCTATTGTTTGTTTACACGTGACAGAATGTTGGTATTGCGCGTTTTATTATAGACGTATAGTGTTTTACTGTGTACATTATAATTCCCAAAAAAAAACCTAATGGTGAAAAAAGGTCAAGTTTCAAACTCCCTCCCAAAAAAGTCGGCCTATCAAAGTAGTGAAATCTACATTGTGGCCAAGTTCTGTATTTTTTAATTCATACCCTCACTACACTCCTACATTAAAGAGCAACATTCCTCTTTTATTTGTATTGTTTAACACTTGGCCAGTTTCTGAATGAGGCATAAACTAGACTTGGCCGCAATTTACAATATGCATAAATGCACCAAAAAATGACTAACTAGTAAATATGTGGTAAAAAAAGTATAGAGTGAACCACACTTTTAAATGACTTTATATTATCTGATAAACACCTCGGTCATGGTTGTAAATGTCTATAACCGTAGGAATATCCGTGGAAGATAATACGACTATTTGTTCCACAACCAAAAATGTTATGATATAAAAAGATAAACAAAAATTGATACCCGTGAACAAATTGACATATTATTGAATTTACTATCGTATTATAATGATAGACTAGTAATTTATATTCCTAATTATTTTTATATAAATATAATATAAAATGTATACATTACATTTTTTAAATAAATCAAAGTAGGTATTATATTAAAAAAAAAAAAAATATGAGCCATGGAGGAGCGAATGCCCCCTTCGTCCCCTAAAATACGCTCTCGTTGTAGTAACACCGTGTGAACGACGCTTTTTTTTATAAATGTTGGATATTATTTTCATAAATATATTTGTTTTGATGTACTTATATCAAATCAATCATATAAAATTCTTTTCCCAAATTTCAAACAAATTAAATTGATTCTTTTTGAACAAATATGTTTCAAATAACCTATAGTATTTTAGCAGGCGAGAAATAATGTTGGATTATTACACGGATAAAAATGTGCATATTTTTTGTCAACATGACTATTTTAGTAATATTAAAAAGGAAAAACAATA